GTATGAACCACACGTTGGATCAGCTATATTCGCAAGTATCCACTCAACAACCGCTAGAGGGCAGTTAAAAACAAATTCCGAATTTACCTTGACAGCCCTGTATTCTTAAATACCCTGGGTCGTGAATAGGTATTTCCGAGAGAATGATGTAAATAGGTTTTCTCCCCGAGGTTTCAGAATAGAGCGTCCTTCTTCTATTTATCTAAGGCATGTTTGTGAACAATGTGTCTGACTAGCTGTTTTGTCGAATTTTTACAACAGAAGTTCTTTGACATCTGGGGTTCCAAAGAAAGATTAAATTTCAAGAGTGAATTATATATTGTTGTTGTATCTGTCAAAAATGATGTAAATTAATCATCATTATTATTTGACTATATTCAAAAAATGAGCTAAATACAAATGAGAACGACGTTCAATAAAATGGGTCATGAATATTCAACTTGATATAATATGCAAATATGTGTTTCTATTGAAAATGTAAATTATTAGAATTTGGCAGCTAACGAATGAACATATAACTCTGCAGCGCATCTTTACTGAGAATCTAGAATAATTTTAAAAGAGAATAGTTTCGATTCTAGATCATATTATATTTTCGAATTCCATCTACTTACATAGACAGTAATTATACCTAGTAAACAGGTTCTCAAAGACTAAGAGCTTAAGTTCGCATTTGAGAGAGGACGTGCAGTTAGGTTGAAAGAAGCTAGTTGGACTGACTGGAGGATCGATCGGAATGTTGATAGGAATTTCTGAACCATGACCGAACACGGAGTCAAATGGGCAGAAGTCGACCTAGAAAGACGACTGACCATAAAGAACAATCAATCGATTAGGCTTTCTAAGTCCCAGATTATTAATTAAGAATGATCTGACATGTATCTGTTGCAATGGTGTCCGCGGGACCATTAATAAAAGATTCAGATCGCAAAATTCAGCACAGAATGTGTGTGATTCTAAGACATTCAATGGAAATATGGCGCGAGAAATCATAACGAAGTCACAACAAATGAACCTATTCCACCTTCTGGAGATTGCTTCGAATTGTTTCTTAATAATTCTGTTATACATCATCATATAAAAAAGGTTTGTGAACGTACTATGGGAGAAAAATAATGCGATTAAAAAGCGGGAAAGGGGTACTGCACTTGAGATAGCTGGCAGGTGTTAAAGGGCCTGAGAGGGGTGTGTTAATGATAATCTTGGGTAAACCGTGTAGATATAAGGAGTCGTTTCGGTTTGAGGATGAATTCTTTGAATTTTTCTTTTGTTATTGCCGATTGTGTTTAATTTATTGACCAAACCTTGTATTTCATCCACCATCATTGATCAATTATTCACATTAGTCAAAAAAGGCGGGAAACGATCATCGTATATTGAGATAAGAGGTATATATTTTGTTAAGCCCAAAACTGTCTAATCAGTTATATTCATTTTAAATCGTATTAAGTTCGAAATTCTTGATGTTCATCCCCTACCGCTATAATTTTGATTCATATAAATCTAATTATTCAACAATCTTACCACCGTAACTCAAGAGAATTTGTCAAATATGGAAAATACTTTGGATAACTTCTTATGTGATAAGAACCAAAGCCTCAATGGCGTTAGTTTAAATATTTGTTTTATTATTTTTAGTGTATATCATTGAATTATTTTTAAAAGTAATAATTTAATTATTTTTAATGCCACATATTTATTGGACATTTTCTCGCCGACTGTGCAAATTTCAATAGGGAAGAAGGTTCGCTATAGTTTTTCTGCAAAACCCTTCATGAAGAATGTGACTTCATCATTGTGTCCTATTTCAGGATTTATATAGCAACAGAGTATCCTGACAATAAGATGCTAACTCAAGTTTTCGACTTCTCACCAATTTATTCACCAAATCCTCCGCTAAAAATGCTTTTGAATTTATCCCATGATGCCAAACATTTTCCTACATTCTCGAACCCTAATTAGCAGTGTTCCAACTAAAAAGAAAATAACAAAAGGAACACTTTGACAAAATCAATAAGGAATCTAGGATTTGATTTCTTTTTACATTTTTTTTTTATTTTTTGAGATTTCGGGTTCAACACGGAGACGCAGAAGTACTTCTAAGAAATACTATTCTGGGTCTCCGTGTTGAAGGGCATTTTAGCCCGAAAGCTCGAAAAATAAAAAAATGTCAAAGAAACTTAGCCCTAGATTCCTTATTGATTTTGTCGAAGTGTAAAAGCAGGAAAGAATCTTTATTAAAAGGAACACTGAATCACACCAAACATTGTGTTATCCACTCGATCAAAGTTTTGAACGATTGCAGAGGGAAATTTCACCTGTTGGTAGGTTCTTCGGGTTTTCCGTAGGCGCATGGAAGGAAGTCCTTGTCTATGATCCTTTTTTTTCGGTTTTCACTAACATGTTTTTTTTTTTTGCTTCAATCGGCGATAAAACTTGTAATTAGAGATTTTTATTTCGATCGTCACTTTAGAGGTCTGTGGGATTCTCCCAGAATTTCCACCAGAGAGATTGCAAAGTATTTAAACAAATATAATAATCTATTTTCTATAAGATAAAATATTTTTATCGTATATATAAAAAATCTAAAAAGAAAATAATTTACAGAAGCAAGGGGGCGACTATAGAAGTTTTGCTTCAGCACATTGAATAAAACAGATTATTTTTAAATATATAATGCAGACATGAATAAATTATGAATTATAAAATATAAATACAATAACCATTATACGTATATGAGGATGTTGTCTATATTTAGGTACATTGCCATGTTTAATAATGTATTGTTGAAATATTTGAAATATAGGTTGGTTTGTTTGAAAAAACACACACACACACACACACACTGCGAAAATCTACCAAACGATATACAATAAATATAAGTTACATTAAAACCATCATAAATTACCTTATAAAATATTTAAAAGGAAAAAAAAAGTTTTTCCTTAATAATAATAAATAGATATATAATATTGTAGCAAAGTACAGGGTGACCCAAAAGTCTTGCACAACTTTAAAAATTAATAACTCGGCAAATATTTGCGCTAGAGCAATGCGGTAAACACCATTGTGTTCAGGATGCAATGTGATTTTTAGGGCAAATAATTAGAATTTCGGAATTGATTTTAGTTACAATTTTATTCCCTGGATGGCGCTCTACCAATTGTACTACCGCTTTATCAATTGTTGATAAATTGAAAAATATAACTGATCGACACGTATTTTTCCTTTTTGAATACCAGGAAAGAACCCCTAAAGATATCAATTGTTAAATTAATAAAACACCATTTCGCCAAAAGTAGTAGAATTAGATGACAATTTTTAAATGCAATCCGAGATATGTAGAATAGGTAAATGCAAATTGAAACATGTAACAAAAATATATATATAAAGCTATACAAACAGTTTTACCGCATAAGTTTCTTTTTTTATTATGAAAAATCATTTTTAATTTCAAAGAGAAATATTTAATATTTCTAACTTTTGGATGACGTATGAAAAGGTTGAATACATGAAGAGTGATGGTCTATATATGAAGGGATGACTTATGGAAGGGTGAAAATATGAAGAGTAATGGCGAACGGAAAAATAAAAGTGTCCAGGAGCGGGAATCGAACCCACAACCTTCTGCTTACCGGGCAGGTGCCATGTCCACTAGGCTATCCTGGACGTATTTCTCCGTTCGTAACTAATATTTAAACTGACTAATAATACTTATAAATGACTGCGGCGTATAATTATAAAGCTATACAAACAGTTTTACCGCATAGGTTTCTTTTTTTATTTATGAAAAATCATTTTTAATTTCAAAGAGAAATATTTAAATATTTCTAACTTTTGGATGACGTATGAAAAGGTTGAATACATGAAGAGTGATGGTCTATATATGAAGGGATGACGTATGGAAGGGTGAAAATATGAAGAGTAATGGCGAACGGAAAAATAAAAGGGTCCAGGAGCGGGAATCGAACCCACAACCTTCTGCTTACCGGGCAGGTGCCATGTCCACTAGGCTATCCTGGACGTATTTCTCCGTTCGTAACTAATATTTAAACTGACTAATAATACTTATAAATGACTGCGGCGTATAATTATAAAGCTATACAAACAGTTTTACCGCATAAGTTTCTTTTTTTATTTATGGAAAATCATTTTTAATTTTAAAAATGATTTTCCATAAATAAAAAAAGAAACTTATGCGGTAAAACTGTTTGTATAGCTTTATAATTATACGCCGCAGTCATTTATAAGTATTATTAGTCAGTTTAAATATTAGTTACGAACGGAGAAATACGTCCAGGATAGCCTAGTGGACATGGCACCTGCCCGGTAAGCAGAAGGTTGTGGGTTCGATTCCCGCTCCTGGACCCTTTTATTTTTCCGTTCGCCATTACTCTTCATATTTTCACCCTTCCATACGTCATCCCTTCATATATAGACCATCACTCTTCATGTATTCAACCTTTTCATACGTCATCCAAAGTTAGAAATATTAAATATTTCTCTTTGAAATTAAAAATGATTTTTCATAAATAAAAAAAGAAACTTATGCGGTAAAACTGTTTGTATAGCTTTATAATTATACGCCGCAGTCATTTATAAGTATTATTAGTCAGTTTAAATATTAGTTACGAACGGAGAAATACGTCCAGGATAGCCTAGTGGACATGGCACCTGCCCGGTAAGCAGAAGGTTGTGGGTTCGATTCCCGCTCCTGGACACTTTTATTTTTCCGTTCGCCATTACTCTTCATATTTTCACCCTTCCATACGTCATCCCTTCATATATAGACCATCACTCTTCATGTATTCAACCTTTTCATACGTCATCCAAAAGTTAGAAATATTAAATATTTCTCTTTGAAATTAAAAATGATTTTTCATAAATAAAAAAAGAAACTTATGCGGTAAAACTGTTTGTATAGCTTTATAATTATACGCCGCAGTCATTTATAAGTATTATTAGTCAGTTTAAATATTAGTTACGAACGGAGAAATACGTCCAGGATAGCCTAGTGGACATGGCACCTGCCCGGTAAGCAGAAGGTTGTGGGTTCGATTCCGCTCCTGGACACTTTTATTTTTCCGTTCGCCATTACTCTTCATATTTTCACCCTTCCATACGTCATCCCTTCATATATAGACCATCACTCTTCATGTATTCAACCTTTTCATACGTCATCCAAAAGTTAGAAATATTAAATATTTCTCTTTGAAATTAAAAATGATTTTTCATAAATAAAAAAAGAAACTTATGCGGTAAAACTGTTTGTATAGCTTTATAATTATACGCCGCAGTCATTTATAAGTATTATTAGTCAGTTTAAATATTAGTTACGAACGGAGAAATACGTCCAGGATAGCCTAGTGGACATGGCACCTGCCCGGTAAGCAGAAGGTTGTGGGTTCGATTCCCGCTCCTGGACACTTTTATTTTTCCGTTCGCCATTACTCTTCATATTTTCACCCTTCCATACGTCATCCCTTCATATATAGACCATCACTCTTCATGTATTCAACCTTTTCATACGTCATCCAAAAGTTAGAAATATTAAATATTTCTCTTTGAAATTAAAAATGATTTTTCATAAATAAAAAAAGAAACTTATGCGGTAAAACTGTTTGTATAGCTTTATAATTATACGCCGCAGTCATTTATAAGTATTATTAGTCAGTTTAAATATTAGTTACGAACGGAGAAATACGTCCAGGATAGCCTAGTGGACATGGCACCTGCCCGGTAAGCAGAAGGTTGTGGGTTCGATTCCCGCTCCTGGACACTTTTATTTTTCCGTTCGCCATTACTCTTCATATTTTCACCCTTCCATACGTCATCCCTTCATATATAGACCATCACTCTTCATGTATTCAACCTTTTCATACGTCATCCAAAAGTTAGAAATATTAAATATTTCTCTTTGAAATTAAAAATGATTTTTCATAAATAAAAAAAGAAACTTATGCGGTAAAACTGTTTGTATAGCTTTATAATTATACGCCGCAGTCATTTATAAGTATTATTAGTCAGTTTAAATATTAGTTACGAACGGAGAAATACGTCCAGGATAGCCTAGTGGACATGGCACCTGCCCGGTAAGCAGAAGGTTGTGGGTTCGATTCCCGCTCCTGGACACTTTTATTTTTCCGTTCGCCATTACTCTTCATATTTTCACCCTTCCATACGTCATCCCTTCATATATAGACCATCACTCTTCATGTATTCAACCTTTTCATACGTCATCCAAAAGTTAGAAATATTAAATATTTCTCTTTGAAATTAAAAATGATTTTTCATAAATAAAAAAAGAAACTTATGCGGTAAAACTGTTTGTATAGCTTTATAATTATACGCCGCAGTCATTTATAAAAATATATATATTTTAGATGCGGTTTGCTGGAATCATCTCAGCGATTTAAATTTCGAAGATAAAATATTTCTAATTTTTTAAATTCAACTCTCTCTCAGTATCTATTATATTTATTTTAATTCATTTGAAAAATATTTATCTATCTCTGATAATTTATTTTACTCTGTTATGACGTCATTATCGGATATAGCACTCTTGGTGAATTTTTCAAATTGTAATTCAGAATCTGCCACTGAAACTTTACAAGCGTTTCGTACCTTCAAAGATATTCGAAGAGGTGAGGGACCCATGAGTTGCTACTCTCAAAGGTGAATTATAAATATTCTCAAGAAGACAGGATCTCTTTAAGCAAAACCCCCGAGGGGAAGACCATCGACATGCAAGTCAGTGGCTGTTATGGTTTCGCAGAATGTTGAAGCTATTGGAACGTTATCAACGTATGGAGATGTAAGTGCTCGACAAACGGGGATTTCGTATGAAACAGTAGGAGAGCACTAAAAATTTTTCTTAAAAAATACCCGTACAAATCTCACGAGCTAAAAGTCGGCATTTTTAGGAAGCGACAAGAATTCGCTGCATGGGTTTTCCGGCTAATTGATATTGATGAAAACTGGCTGTCGAGTGTTCTGTGGACAGATAGAGCTAACTTTTCTCTAAACGAAGAAGTTAACACTCAAAACATCCGCATTTGGGCAACAGACAACCCTAGGAATTTGACAGAAATGCCACTTCATCAGTCCAGAGTTACAGTTTGGTGTGGGCTCACTTCTTCTTTATTATTGGGCCATTTTTATCTGAAGAAATCAATGGAAGAACTTTTAAAACCGTTTCTGTAACTGGTGAACCTTATGTTTAACTTTATAGAGAAAAGAATATTCCTATAATGCAAGAAAGACAAGGATTAAGCGAAATAACATTCATGCAAGATGGAGAACCTCCTCATATCTCCCGCGGTGCCAAACAATTGCTGAAGGATACGTTCGGAGAAGATCGTGTGATAAGTCGCCACTTTATACACCAGTGGCCTCCAAGATCATCAGACTTGACGCCTTGCGGTTTTTGGCTATGGGGTTACATTAAGTCGCGTCTTTATCGATGCCGGCCTACCACATTGGCCATGTTGAAGGCTTCTATCAGACGGCACGTTTCATAAATTTCAACAGATATGTTATTTAATGCTGTCCATTCTGTCATCTATCGTCTGCAGGCGGTGTTTGAGAATTAAGGGCGCCACATTAAGCGAGGATTGTGACCTAATACAAGAGAGAAGGCAGTTACCTCATGTGCTATTTAAGCTGCCAAGTATTATATTATCTACCAATATTTTGCAGCTATTTGTGTTGGTTTATGGGAATAATAAATGCTGTACTTACATTTTGACTCTATTTTTTTTGTGAACAGTAATTTTTTTGTTTGTCATTTGCCCACATCTTATATTATGTCATACAGACCAAAGTGTAATAACTTCTCGAATAACACTGGTACACACAATTTTACCCCTTATGTTTAGTTTATCACTTTTCGCTCATTAGAAGAAATATCATAAGGAATATTCTCTGTACACCCTTAACTTTAGAAATTTTGCGCAAAAAAATACAAAATTATTTTTATACCACGTTATGCAACGCAAAAGGTAGATCCTAAAATGATTTTTAAAGGGAAGACATTTTTAAAATTTTGTACAGTATAATAAGCAATGATAACATTTGAAAAGCCCATAGGATATTTGGAATAAAGTACAACATTCAGATTTTGTCACACCTCTTTGTTTCATTTGTTGGATCATAACAAATATCCAGTTAAATAGTCAAGTATCGCCAATTTGTCAAGAAACTACACATTCCTTATGGCAAGAAATCCCATTAGTATTTCCATCATAATTTTTGGTACTATATTAACATTTCAAAATATCGTGTATTGATTAAGCAGTTTTTAAACATTAAATCTATTTCACAAAACCGCATCTAAAATATCATTTTTTTGCTACATGTTTTAATTTGCATTTACCTATTTTACATATCTCGGATTACATTTAAAAATTGTCATCCAATTCTACTACTTTTGGCGAAAGGGTGTTTTATTAATTTAACAATTGATATCTTTAGGGTTCTTTCCTGGTATTCAAAAAGGAAAAATACGTGTCGATCAGTTATATTTTTCAATTTATAAACAATTTGACCGCTGAATCTCTGATTCTGGTAGAGCGCCATCCAGGGAATAAAATTGTAACTATTATCAATTTCGAATTCTTCATTATTTGCCCTAAAAATTCCCATTGCATCTTGAACACTAAGGTGTTTACCGCATTGCTCTAGCGCAAATATTCGCGGAGTTATTAATTTTTAAAGTTGTGCGGGACTTTTGGATCACTCTGTATTTATTACATTTTATGTACAGATTATTAATTTTTTGATATTTATATTATTTATATTTTGCTATTCTCTCTCTCTCTCTCTCTGGAAACTTTCCTCATTGCTTATCTTGTCTATATATATATATATATATCGTAATATATCCTGTCGACTTTCAATATAGCTGTGGTATTATGCTATGCTGGGAAACCTTACTCTTGGGGTTGAAGATTGTTGAAGTGGTGGCGCAGTCGTGATGGCTGAGTAAGAAAGGATTACACACAAGGGAAATAAGCCAGGATACTTGATGGGTTGAAAATGAAAGGCAACTGGTTTGGAGGAAAGAAAGCTTGAGAAAGCGGAGCGAATTTGACTATTAACTATCGGATCACATGGTGATGATCGACTTGACTATGGGATGAGTTGAGAGAGAGATCTCTAGAGCAGATGTTACCTTGGTGAGAGCGAGTCGAAGACTAGGTGTTGTTCCGATGGAAGCGAGTCGATGACTGACTAATCTAGGTTCCCGATTTAACACCAATACTTATCTTCTTTCCCATTGGTCGAAAGGTGTCACATGACCGTTTTCTATTGGTTGACCTATTTAGGTGATACTTTCTAATTGGTCTTTGCTGCTGTCTTTGTCGGAAGACACGACCGGCCCTGCCCAGGAAATACTGGTCGTTAAACTTAGCTTTTATGATTTCCGGGGTCATAAGGTTAGCTGTAATTTTATTAATAGTTGGGCTCTCTTCTAAGCCTACTTCCTAGGTTTTTCTCTAAGGCGTTCTATCCTCCAGTTACCTTTGTTCTTTTATTAAATCTTTTTAAAACATACATTGTACATACATAGTGGGTCGGAGGTGCATACAGTTATATACAAATTATGACAGATGCGCCCCCTACATGTGAAGAATTCAAGAAGGGGTTAGCCTGAGAGAATCCTGTAAAGGGAAAAATAATTTTGTGGGAAAATTAGTTGTGGGTATTGAGAGGCTATATACAAGCATTGGTGGTGATATAAGAGGTAAAATAGAATGGTGTTGATGATATAGGTTGAGTATAATTAATAGAAATCAAAAATTTTTAATTGTAAGAAATCAAAATGAATGCTATGGTACATAGTGGGTTAAAAAGAAAAGAAAATGCCTAACTATATTCTACTCGAAATTGGGAATGGAAATCGAGGGATTTTTATTAGGGCTTTTGAGAAATCAAATATTATATAAAAAGTTGGAAGAAATCAAAGTGAATGCTTGATGCATGGTGAGAAAAAAAAAGGAAAAATGCCTAACCATATTCTATTCGAGATTGGGAATGAAATCGAAGGAATTCTATTAGGGCTTTTGAGAAA